TCTTCAAATAAAATAAATAATAACAAATACAGAAGTGAGTTTACAATAACTGTCATCAGTTGAATACATAAACCTAAGTAACTAGATTTCGTTTTCTTGACAAATATTTAAAAGAACTGTAAACTAGGATAAAAGAAAGAAGCGTTTCTTTTCGATGAAAGAACATTATAAGTCAAAATAAGATATGCATTTTTGTTTAGGTTGATTTTTGAACAATTATTTTCTGTTTTGTTGCTGATGACTAGACTATTTGTTGAAGAAGTTTAATAATTTTAAACGAAAACAGAAAAACAAACATATTGATGAATTTATGATGTAATAAATTATGTCAAATTTCTTTTACAACTTCCATTCAACTCATTTGATGATGATGATGATGATGATGATGATGATGATGATGATGATGATGATGATGATGATGATGATGATGATGATGATGATGATGATGATGATGATGATGATGATGATGATGATGATGATGATGATGAGATGATGATGATGATGATGATGATGATGATGATGATGATGATGATGATGATGATGATGATGATGATGATGATGATGATGATGATGATGATGATGATGATGATGATGATGATGATGATGATGATATAAATAATGATCCAACAATCCAAATATAAATAATAATGAAAATGTCAGTTTATTTTTAATAGAGTACAATAGAAAATTAAAATTTATCCAGTATACACTTAATAAATGTAAATTGGAAGACATTTTTCGTATACTTCGTATATTTACCTGGTCCATAAATTATTTTCTTCCTTACACCTTGATTAGTACGTCAGCTCATTTGTTATTTATTCTCGAATCCATTTTTGTGATGCAATCTTTTCTATCGTCCTATAGATATATATTTTCCATATATACACGAATATACAGCTTAAGTAAATGATTTCGTCGAAAAGAAAATTTTCTTCGCTGAATTCTCTTTTTTTGTTCAATGACACTATGGGTTATTTTAAAAATCAGTCTATAAATAAACAAATCAAATTGTAATATTGAATGTTAGATCTATCAACAGACGTACACTTACCTGACAACCATTTACGAAAATATTTTAATGGTTCCCTAAAATTATGCTACAATATGCTTGAATGATTAAAAAAACACTGTAATTAAAAAGTGTAAGCATAAAACCTTCTCCCAACTTTACAAATAAGACAGCTTCTTGTAGATGTAATGAGTTTTTTGAATTGTGAATTAATAAAAACAAAACTCTGATCATGAACTTAAGTAGTGACTATTACTAAGAGTTGACTAATCTTCAGTTGCTATTCCATATAATATTCAGATTGTATTTTAATTAGGTTTATTTTATTCGAAAATTGTCTTATTTTATTGAGTTAACAATGGTTTTATTTGGTTGATCAGTTATTCCATTTCTTTATTTAAAGCCATTGTAGTGATTATTTGATTTTCGTTAGTAAACATCATGAACCTACTTTAGGATACATTATATAACTAAGAAATCACAACGATTATCATCTAAACAGTTTGTCTAAAACTTAAGATTTCAAAAGAACTTTTATTGTTGTTATTACTTGTCGAAAGTTCGATAGTAATTTGTGAGATTCAAAATACAGCTTCATGTCAATATATCTTTCTTATTTCTTAATTTAACACTTCTTAATATCAAAAAGTTATCAACAAGCAAGTGAGCCGACAAATCATTATTCTGATATATATTTGTTTTAAACAAAAAAAAAATTTAGACCATAGACTGCTTTTGTTATACCATTGACAAAGAACTTGCTTCAAACTATAGTATGTAAAATATGTTGCTATATTCAGCTTATTTTGATTTCAATTGGTTTAGGTGACTAATAAACACTGTCACAGGTAGCTGAATATTTTTTCTTCTATGAAACTTCATCCATCGGTTCAAAATCCAATATTACTTCAAAAGACTACAACAATTATGAATGTCCATCCTATAAACAGATCGAAAATTCATATGTTAGATCTGTGTTTGCTCTAACTGCTTTTTTGATTTTACTGACAATACTATTTGGTATAACTGAGCAGATGATACAATGCTAAAAGTACTAAATACATAGAATGATAACATGTTTGGTTTCTTCTTCATCCTCACATCATATGTACCTTATTTCATAATTACTAGATTATGCCTGATTGATGACTGTGAAGAATTAGTGATTGTCAAAATTATATCTATATATATTTTTAAATAAACTTTAAATTACGGTGGAAAGCTTATGGCAGGTAAAATTCTGTATTATTGAGATTCAAATATTGAAACTTAAGCAACTAATTCTTATCAAATATTACATAAAACAACTGTTTATTACATACTCTTTTAAAAATATACAAATTAGTTTAGATTGATATCATGAATGGATCAATGTTGGACCACTATTGCAAAGCTGGAAGCACTGGACTGTCATTTCGTCCCAGTATGGGCTCCTCAGCATTGTCCGCGATCGTGCATGCAGAACTCGAACCTGGAACCTTCGTCCTCGCATGTGAACGCTTAACATCTGAAACATTTAGCCGACATCCGACGATGTTGACGTTTACCCTCAATCAACCGATGATTATTACTGTCGAGAAAGTTTTCAAATATCGTAGAAACTTCAAGTCTATATATAAACTTTGATTTCTGGAAGAGATAAAGATCATAAATAAGAACTTTAATTGTAATATCAACTACTGGATTGCTGGAGGCTCAGAATTCGGATGGATGGTGAGAATCTAGAAGCCAGTTGGGATGTCAATGTCATTAATGTCCAACGGTGTTATTGTCTAACTTCAACCAATCCGTGATATTGCACGACCGTTCACTATTTTCTTTAGTGAGTAACCGCTTCACACCAGACACGGTTGAACTCTACTGGCCACACCCACCACAGAATGGCGGTGTAATATTACTCCATTAATGAGACCGATATAAGAAATGTAAATACATATATCTTTTTTTGCCATTGGTACAACCCTCATTTGAAGGTACTGATATAAGCTGTAAAACTCAGGAAAACCTTGAGAATCACGTAACTATTATATCGTGTTTCAGGATCCCCTTGAAGTCTGCGTCCGTGGACATAGAGTTAAAACTGTTGAGAGCTTGAGGTCCGGAGGTTGGGAAGATAATGATGTTTTAGTGAGTCAGAATAAATTGATACCTAAAACTCCATAGACTTGTCATATAGTGGGAGCAGCATCCCCTGCGATAGATACGCAAGCATTTAGCTATTGAACTGGTTATCTCTACATAGATCACTTATAATGCTCTGAAGTTGATCCTATTCATAGCACTTGAACTTCAGTACATTACGTTCTAAACGCTTATATATTCTCAAATACTTTACGGGTAAATACAAGCTATTTTGATTATGTTTGATGAAGTCAGCAAATATTTTGATTCAGGAAAAAGAGAGGGCCGTTACTGGAAAGGTTGATGCTGTATTCACTGCGTCCCACTCTGTGTCGACGTGAGCGGGCTCATTTCACCAACTAACCACAACTACCTTCTCAATAGTGGCCGAAATCCCTAGCTACTAAGCCACCACGACATCAGTCACCTCAAGCTTACGGGATACCTTTCTGATGTGTGCCGAACAGCGCGAAACCTGAGTCCACGGTTTCCCGTCAACTACTTCGGACCACCACATTATGCCGACTAAAATTTAACTTTAATAGTACTTTTCTTTTTTTTCAGTACTATGAGTTTCGAAAAGTATTTTTGATTATATTTGATATGATAGAATAAGACGATAGTATATAGGTCAATATTTCTTTGTATCAACTCTCTAGAAATTTAGGCCAAAGTTACAGGTGTAAACTTGGTTCAATATGGCACTTAGAGATCAGTATAAAATTTGTTTTATGTGACTTGTGAATTCTCATTCAGTATGACAACTTTACATCATGTATTAATTCAGGTGAACTATAGTTATTTTGTTTTCACAACAAATGTTTGTATTCCTTCTCCTCCTCTATTAAGTGTGTGTAAAAATTAGTACGTAAATAATTCTATTTTGATCTAGTGTTGATTTTGAGACTTGTTTGTAGATGTATTTTTAAGGATTTATAAAGTGTTCTTTGTACCAGTTTTCTGTGTTCTGACTTAACTTTGTGAGATTTTTATTGGTTACCATTACCCAACATAAACGTTAGGGTCAAGAAATTGTAGTGGTTACCGATTGTCAGGTAAATGCAATTATACTGGGAACTCAACAAACATACATAACAAAAACGACTCCTCAGATAACGTAGTTGACCACTGAGTTACAATAATGCAGATAAGATCAATTATACCGTCATAGAGATATGAATAAAAGTATTCTTCTAACGATATTCATTGTTCTTCTTCTTTAAATTCGTTTATCATATTACAGAATATATGTAATGCAGTAAATTTTCCCGATACTCATGACTTTCACATAGAAGAAATTTTTAAAGTAGTAATATTCAAAGGTAGATATTATTTCATTTAAAACTCATTTAATCTCTTTTATGCATCTACTATATAATGCTTGTTTTAAATATCCATATTTTTTCAATGAGAAAATTGATATTATCAACTAAATTAGTTGTTAAGATGACAGTTCATTAAAATCTACCGTAGACAATAAAAAGTACATTATTCAAATGTACTGTTAATTAACATAATTAAAACTAATTATTGATATCTATATATTATTACATTATCTTATTTACTCATTTATTGAATAAAATAATAATGGGAATAAACAAATAAATAAATAAATAGATTGACCAATAAAATTTCAGGAAAAATTCAGCTCATTTTTTCATTGGTTCTTTATAAATTAAATAATAACCAATAAGTAATCTGTTTTATTTTTCTTTTTGATTTTTATTTTAAGAAATAAAAAAAGTATGATTAATTTATATAACACACTTTATTTAAGTGTATTTTCAATTACAAATTAATTACCAAGTAAATATTAATTATTTAATAAAAGAAAATATATCACTTAAAGAGTACAATAATGAAAAACATGCTTAATGTTACGATACATCATCATCATAAACATGTAGATTTTATAAAAATCATCTTATATATTTATTGGATATGTTCAAGTTATGTAAATTGCATGAGATATAATACAGTTTATCAAAATGATGATTTATCATCTGTCTATAAAATGCCTAAGAAACATTCAAGTAGGTTTTAATTATTCATATATCAACATTTTAAAAAAAAATAAACTTTCAATCATTCAATGCATCTATAATAAATAATTGTTTAATATATAAGTGTTAAACATTTTTCAACAGTTCAATTCACTGATCACTTTAAGCTAGACCGACATTGAAAACCTGGAAGTACTGGAAGGCTGTTTCGTCCCTATGTGGGACGCCTTAACCGTGCGCATCCGTGATCTTGCACGCTAAAGTCCTATACTACGACGAAACGGCCATCCAGTATTTTCAGGTTTTCAATGGTGGTATAGCATAGTTGGGCTCGTGAATTCAACTGTTATAATACTACAATCTCCAAAAATCTCCATTCTGATAAATGACAATAAACATTTATTTTTTAATAGTTGAGATTATGAATCAATTGAAGTTAAACCACCATGCTTTTAAATTTTCCATGGTGTTTCCATCTTCATTTGACTCATGATTTCAACAATTAAAATTACTATAATATTCACAAAACCCCATCTAACATTTATTTTTCAGTTGAAGACCATACGTAAATTTGATGATGTATCATATTAAAAATAATGATATTTGTTCGTTTTATAAATCAATCTTTACAATAATCATTTTCTTAAAAAAGATGAAATTTTTCCGATCTGATTTATCTACTGATGGTAAGTAATTTATTCGATCGGAGACTATATTTCAAATTTGGATGGATGAAAATTGAGTTCGGTTTATTTATTTTATTTTTAAAATGGTTTTTCTGGTTAGCGCTTTTTAAGCCAGTTAGTTTTCTACGGGATTGGGTCGCTAACCCCATGCCCACCCCTCCTCCTTTATCCGGGCTTGGGATCGGCAGTAGCCCCGGAGGGACTCCAGGCGGAGTAATTAAATTTTAAAATGTAAAAGTATTTTACATTTTTTTATTGAACGTTTAAAAGAAGACATATGATTAGATCAATTTTATCAGTTTACCTCCAAATTTCGTATTATTTCATTGTGCTTAAAAACGTTTCAAAGTTTGAGTAATAATCATTAAAATGAATCATGTGTGAATTAGTTCCCAAACTCTTGGTCTGAATGATTATCCTAATGAGAAGTACTTTAACTTTCTGAAGGTGGGAAAACTATGAATTTTACAAAAATGAATTAAACTCATGTAAAGTTCTTCTTGGTTAAAATGAATTATTAATTTTATTACACTGTATCATGTTTTCAATAAGACTGTCAAATTGATCAGTGAAAAAAACTGTGTCTAACCGTCTTATTTGGTGAAGAAACAAGAATATATGAGCTAATAAAGTAATGATTGTAAAAAATGTTTTGTATATACTTGGGTTTTCTTAACTGTTTGCACACACACAATCTAGAACTGTACAGAACACATGAACTTTAGGGATTTGCAGCACGGGATATGTTGTAGACGATTTAAAATCCTTTCAGAAATATCTAACAGATTTTTAGGACTAAGATGCTAATGTTCTTTTTGCGGTTTGTCAACAAAAATACATACTAGGCGTTTCAATTTATTTTCTTGTTCATGTCAGTATGTATTTGCCCAACACAAGATTTTAAATCATGAGCTTTACGGAAAGTTTATAATACGAAGACAGACTGTATTCCAATAATCTCTTGAAGTGACAATTTTAACATTACTTCCTCGCCATAAAATTATAGTGTATGCACAAACATGCAATTAATTTTCTGTAATATTAACATATGAGGCAAAGTAGCCATGATTCACGGTTGAACCACCAAGGACAGAATTTGTAGAAAATAAATTACGCTTAAGATTTGATCTCTAGTTGAAATTCGTTTCCGTAGGTAGATTGATATACAGATGTATCGGTTAAGCTGTGAAATTATTTAAACATAAAGATATCATCGTTGCTTATATTACTAACGATGCATTCGTTATCAAATTGGTAACAGGGATTCACACTACTTTGATTGACTATTTGGTTTTCAAAAGAAACTTTTAATTTCCTAGCATGCTAATCCCTTTCAGCAATGGCTGTAGTGTTCTGAAATACAAATTTTTGGAATTATTGAAGCTGTTGTTAAATTAAATTGTTCATTCAGCCAATACATTATAGTAATAATTTGTTAAATTAGTCGAGCATCACGTCAAACACATCAGCTTGTCTAAAATTCATGTCTATATATCAAATAAGTATGTGACATTTTCTTGATGAATGCGAAATATTTGAAATCCTTTTTATACTATGTACTAATATATATTTGATTGCAAAAATATCTAGTATAATAAAAATGGATAGTGGCTAGCAGTGGAATCCGGGACGCGTGTTTCATCGTATTTGGGACTCGTCAGATGGATGTACCTACATCTCAGAGTTGATGTTTACTTTGGGACTCGAACCCGGCACCGTTCGCTTTATTCGTTATCGCGTTATCCAGAGTGAACATCAACTCTGGAATGCAATAACATTCAGCTGACGGGTCCCAAATAGGGAGAAATGCGCGTCCTGGATTCCACTGCTAGCCACCATTCATCGCTGCTTATAAAGCTTGTGAATTAATGAAATATCGAGGCAGTGCGCATAGGATGTACGTACACCAACAAGAAACTGATCAGTTGCAGTCCTGAACATCAATGGGAAGATTTAGGCAAACAATGCCAAGTGAATTAAACTACTGTAATACTTCAATAGAGTTCGTTCCGACTTTAATCTATTTTAAGATATTTGTTACTTAGTCAAGATTCATTTTTGTTGAAAAAGTTAAGAATGACAGATGTTAGCAAGTATATAGATGTCATCCATTTATTTCTTATAACATACATTCTATTGAGAAAATCTTTTGTATAAATAAAATTAAGTAACTTATCACTCATATATTTCATAATAATGGTAAAGATACCATAGTGACGTTATACTTTAACCCCCTTTATTCGAGTTCCTAAATTATTTAAATCAATCATCAGAGACTTTATTCTAACATCAGAAATGAAAAAAGATTTTAAAGAAAATATTAGAAGTCTGGTAATCAGAGTCACCATAATTTAGTCCCTGGTTTATACTGACGTGTATTATGAAGAAAATAACTATGTATAGCCATCATGTTTATAAGGGTTTACTTATTTATTTATTTAAACACATAAACATTGGTACAAGGAGGCACCAAATACATATGCGCTACATAAATCATTCGATTTGTGTGAGGGCTGTGATACTACCCGGGTGCCCAGATCGAAGCAGGTGGTTTTCTTAGAGTGCCAGACCCCGAGCCTTTGACCTAAAGGTCTCTGACCCACATTGCAGTGGATCATCGTGAGGAGATGCAGTTCCATGGTAGCCGGTGACCAACAATTGGTTCATACGCCATTTGTTCCCGCAGGATATTGGAGCCGATGTGCACCATTTGGTTGGAATCCGGTTAAAGCGCCGGACATAAGCTTTTCGTTCTCTCATTTTCGCGAACAACACCTCCGCCACGAGAAGGCAATGAGTAGGACTTCCCTGGCAGAAGCTGTATACGCGTGGCTGTGTGAGAGCATTTCTAGAAGGAGGGCGGGCCCACTACACTCTCGGCCATACCAGGGCATTCGGGGGCGTTTGTAAGGGTAAACTATATAACATGATTCTTTTAAATTATCATTTTCCATTGAACGTAATACTAGTTCATTCTTTTGTTCTTAAATACATGTGATTAATTATTTTCGTCCATGTGAATGTATGATTCTAGTAAAAATTAATTAATGAAGACATTTAGTACATCATTTAATGGAATTCCATTCTCTTCTTTAATTCCATATTTCTCCATGAACACTGACAGATACAATAATTTATTACTTACACTTTTTAAAATAACAAATAATATCTTCTTTGGTGATGGTGATGATGATTGTCATCAAATCGACACTTCTGAATATTTGATATTACTATAGATAAATTTATGTAAAACACACCAGGGTATATTATTTGATGTGTAAGTTGAAAACAAATACACAACAAATATCTGCCTATCTATCTATCTATCTATCAATCAATCAACATTGAACAAATCTGGTTTATCTAAAAATTAGTTAATCCCGTAGTTCGAATGTATATCTGTTACATGTATATATATATATATATATATATATACTGTAAGGTAAACAAACAACAAATTATTGAAGAAAATATTTTTTTCAAAACAATACATGAACCCATAAAACTGGATAACCAGAGAAAACCAAACAAAATACACCTATTTTTTCATATATTTCTCCATTTTACAAAAAAACATATTTCATAAATATATATCCCCTATTAGAATATAATAATATTTATATACATATATGAATTAGGAATTATAATGATATACATTTAATTAGTATTTCATTATATTAGAAATTTAATTTAATTAATTAATGACTGTAATTTAAACGTGAAGAATAAGCCAATCACAAAAAAACACTTTCATTATTTGATTCGTGAGATGGAATTTAGACACATAGGTCATGGGTTCGAATCTCGTGGGGTGGGATTTTGAATGTGCATCGTTGAGGCATCCCATACTTGGACGAAACGGCCGTCCAGTGTTTCCAAGTTTTCCATGGTGGTTTAGTTTCAATCGACTGATGATTTCAACTAGTGAAATTTTTAAAATCACAAAACCATTTCTGATATTTAGTATTGTAGAAAATATATATTTAAATAGTGAAGAAGTATTAGAAACATCTCTTGAGAGTGTGTTTTCAGAATATTAAATAATTAAGTGATAAATAGAAATAATAAACAAGTATTTATTGATGACGAATAGTATTCACGACTTAATGACATGGATTATAATGATCCACAAATGGAAGTAGTATTTCATTGCACACTGTGAATTCAATTTCCTATGAAAATTACAGATTCTCACTGGGAACTAGTGTCTCATGAGTTAAACCAAATAAGAATTTCAGTAGAAGTTTTAGGTGTTGTGACTTCATGGTCCGCTAGTTATCGCGTATTCTATTCGCCAATCAAAATACGACTTATTCGCTCTTATACTGTACTAAACCAATGACG